AAATTCTCATAGCAAAAATGCTTGTTAAAAATAAAGGGCAAATATGCTAACTTCCAACTTGAATAAATACCAATATAGTAATTTAGGAACCAGAGCTTAATAGTAACTGGAAAAGTAGCTCCCTCTCATTCCGCCATTCATTTATTTCCATCAAGATATTTTTCAAGAAGTAGCTTGAAAATCAATCAGACAAGCTCAAGGACAGAAATCAGCTGATGAAGAAATATAAAATAGAAATGAAGACTGATGAGATGCAAAAGGATATGCATGCACTCCAGAGAGAGAGAATGCTCAGGCGTCTGTTCAAGTCTGAAGCAGCAGGTTATGCGAAAGCTTCTTCACAGAGAAAAGATTAAGAGAAAGGTGTGGAGACATTTTTAAAACTTGTCTTCTTTTATTATGTTTTAGTCCAGCTGGTAAGAGAGAAATATAATTTGGTGATGAGGCAACATTCATTGTGTTTTCATCCTTGCAAGGAAATGGAAAACTGGTTGATACTAAATAATTTGGCAGCTAAAACCAGCACAAGGGCTTGACTTAGAAGTAGAATAGCATCATTCTGAAGGAAGGATTAGGCAGGAAGACCTAACATACAAAATGTGATACAAGTAAAGGCAACTCAAGTCCATGGAAATGATAACCTGTGATTCAATATTAGCAATTAGGGTTATGAGCACAGTTTAATGTATATTTGCACAATATTCACTGATACTCCAGACAGCTCAGTGTAAGAAGCATAAAAGCTCATTAGTGGACCATTTTATCCAGGATAGTTTATCTGCTTCACAGCTGATCCATAAAGGTGAAGCATCTTGCTGAGGCAGGAATATCTCTTCCAGTTATGAAGATAAGTCACTTAGGAGTCAACTTCATCATGAAAGACATATATGTCCTCAGCAAACAGACCTTACTACACAGAGAAATAATTCACTGTGAAGGGAATAACTTGAAATCTAGTAAATAAGGTGGGAAATAATTTCATAAAAAATATTAAGGAATTTAGTCTCCAATCTGCACTTTTGAAAAGACACAGGAAGACACAGATGTTTAAAAATATACTTAAGGGACTCAAAAATACAATACAATCATCAGGAAACCCAGCTGAAGATTAATTTTGAAAGTCATTGATTGGAAGACCTATGTAAATAAAACACATTTAGAATTTTTAAAGTATGAACCTGATTTCTTCATGTTGCCTATAGAAAATGGGAAGCATCCTCCAGTTACCAACACATCAGATTTCACAGAGAGCAAAACCAGGAAGCAGCTGTTTCATGTACACAGACTAATGGAAAAGAAGGGACCATATGTGTCTATGAAGTTGATATACAACATTGTAAGAAAACAGCATGTTTCTTAGAAATGAAACAATGGTTTGCACCAACAGACAGAAATGAAAAGAAACCACTAATTGAGATTTTTCATTATACAGATCAAAAAATGTTGTGTTCTTGACAGAACTCCAAAAAGGAGTTGGCGTACTTAACTGCAGTCTTAGTTTTCCTTCTAATCACATGTAAACTGTGAATTTAGCTGGGATTCTGAATCAAAGAAACAAGCAAAGGCACAGGCATAAAGGGAAAGTATTGGAATGCAACAAGATTTCGATGACACAAGACACTGCTAGCAGACACACAGACACTGCTAGCTAGCATCAGAAACAGATCTATTGCTGTTGTCATGAGAAAAAAATGCTATGTGAATTTCTCAGTTCACAGGAATTTAATAGGCTTAGTGTCAAGCAGATTGGGTTTATCTGTCAGTCATCAGTCTGTGCAACAAAGAAAGGAACTCTGAGAAAAGGAACCACCACAACTACTGAGACTCCACAATTACCATGAACAAGATTAAGAGGTTTTTATATCTATGGAGAAATCATGGCCTACTATAACTCCCCACAAAGAAAAACAATTCAAGAAAACACTGTGTACAACAGTTATAGGTTCATCCTATCCAGAATGCAAAGTCTGTAACACCCATATAAATAGATGACTCATCTTTTTGGGGGGAACTACCAGAGAAAATTGAAATAGAAAAGCCCTTCAGCTAACACATAAATCTTTCCTAGCTTTTTGTCTTGTTGAGTACACAAAGAATCCAGCTCTTTATACCTGGCTCTCAAATTGGAAAGAAAATCCAATGCTCTTTCAAACAAATACTAATAAAGATTTGTATTATGTTTTTTCCTCTTTTATGTCTAATATGTTACTCTACTTTTCAGAAATTCATTCCAAAAAATTCTTGAACCTTTCACTAATTTCTTCAGCTTTCCCTTAGTATGTCCATACCACTAAATAATGGGTGAAATCTAAGTAGCACAACAGAACTTTCCATTTTTAGTCTACCAAGCTCTTATATTCCAACATTGTTTGGAAGACGTGGTGAAACAATAAAATCACAAAACATTTGACAGAAAAATGAGAGGTTTGAATCTAAAAATAAATATTCTGAATACTGAATACTCTGATGAGCTGTAATTACAAAACATCATAGAATAAAAGACATAGTAAGAACTGCTCCAAACATAGGTACACCTTATTATGAAACACATAGTAATTATTATGAAACACTGGTAGTTAGACATTCTTTATGGAAGGATTGTTATGAAACAGGAATCTTCTTAATAAGACTCTCTAGGTGGAACCTATTAATTTAGTGACATACAGTCCAACAGTTTCACAGCACCAGGACTGAGAAATACATGATCAGCTGTGCAATACCTAATTTGTAATTTGTACTGAAAATAGATGTCACTATGCTGCAAAGTCCTCTTCACTATGGCACTTCAAAGTGTCTCTCTTTATGAGACAGATACATTTTGTGAATTGTATTTACAAAAGGCTCTTTTAGTTTTGAATAATGGTTTTTCCTCTGTTTAGTATACAGCAGGAGATTGAGTTTATAACTTAGACCTATTT